TATTGACATTTTATTTTTCAGCAGCTGTTCTTGAGCACGCTTCGTTGAGTTTCGTTAATTTTTAACATAAAAGCGATCGTTATTATTTAAGTAATTTTTTTGAGTTACTTTTTACAAAGATTTTAATAACAGTACTTTTTTATTGAATTAAGTAGAATACGTTTTAATATTAATCCTTTTTTTTTTTTTTATTTGCGCTCACCAATTTTAAAAATGTTTCCTCGAAATTACTCTTAAATACTTTAAATACGTCTAACAGTTGATAAATATTTTTAAATCTATGGAATAATTTTAAAACCTAACAAACCCCCGTAAAATAATTATTTAAGTTTAAAATCTAAAACTAAAAGAAAGTATTTTTGTTCAATTTTATCGACAACTTTGTTATTGCTGAATAATTTTATTAAAATGTTAGCTTAAAATATTTAAACTTTTTTTTTAATCTGAATTTTTTCTACTTGTAAATAATGAGCATATTTAATTTTTTTTAATTCAAACTTTTTTTTCAACTTTGTGCGGTTTTTAAAATACTTTATTAAATGTTAAAATAATCGTAAATTACTTCATTAAAATTCCGCTCAAAAATATCTTTAAATATACTCAAACAAAAAATTTTTTGCTCGACGCAAATAGCCCTAGCTACACGCAAAATCGCTCTTGGACGACGTAAAATTCACATCGCCCGACGCTTTATCGCAAGGCCTGATATATATATATATATATATATATATATATATATATATATATATATATATATATATATATATATATATATATATATATATATATATAATTATACATATATCTAAAATATTTACTTTATTAGGCTTTCTATACTTTTTAACTATTTAAAAGTCAAGAAACATTAAAAATGAGACTATTGTTCGAGAAAGGTAACATTTACAATGAAAAAAGATCTTGTTTGTTGCCCAAAACTACTCAGTTTACACCACAATATTCCTAAACTTTGAGAAATCTTTACATGAGTGATTACTGCAAATAAAGTTAGGCAAAGCTACAGATATGTGGTCTAAAATAATTTTATTTTATCGTCTGTTGCTTTTGTGTGAAGACTTGCTCAAAGTGGTGACTTTTTTATATAAACAGAATATTTATTGGCTTTAGTGCATACATAGACTATTTTATAGCCTGCTGCTACAAGGGAGTGCTGCTACATTGACTATCTTATATATTACTTGTATATTTATTATTTCTTTATTGCAAAAATATTTTCAAATAGTCGGTAAATTACTATCTTATAGCCTGATTCTACAAGGAAGTGCTGCTACATTGACTTTGATTTGGCATAGGGCAGCAATCTTTTTTCTTTTATTATTTCAATTAAAGTTTCTAATGTTTAAAAACTCTCCACTAACGAGAGCACAACAAGCAAAAAAGTAAAATTGTTTTGAGCGCTAAACTGTAGCTGTACTGAAAATTACATTGTATTTGTCAAAAATTTTGTATTTTTTTACCTAGTTCTTCATTGCCCTGTAGGACATACTCATAGTTCTTCATTGCCCTCTAGGACAATGGTTTTTTGATTTAATTTACACAGTCTGTGTCATATATCTTAAATAAATAAAGTAAAAAATAAATTCAGTCATTCCGGCCTTAAATACTATATTTCCAGCCGGAACCCGAATGTCCTAAAAGTCACAAATTCCAGCCAGAGTAGGTCATTCGGTATGTACCAGAATTCCAGCTAGGACAGAATTCTAGTAGATCCCTATATTATATTATGTTTAGTGAGTTTTTGTAACTTTTGTAAAATTGGGCTTAAAGTTAATATCATTGTATAATGTTATGTTATTTATCTTTTTAGTTAAGTGTTCTTTGAGTAAATTTTTTTTGATGTAAAACATTACATTATATTACATTAGCATTTTTTTGAAGAGTTCATTAAAATAAATATTGAACCTTTTAATGGTAATGATTAGCATTTTTTTGAAGGGTTTGTTAAAATGAATATTGCACATATGATAATAGTGACGCACTCAAAGCTTCAGGGTGTCACTATTATCATATAATGTGCAATATTCATTTCAAGATGATATTTATTTGCTGTACATTAGAATGTGGGAAGAAATATTTAATTTTATATTAAGTTTTATCATTTTTTTTGTTTTTTAAAAGGAATATAATTATAAATATTTATAACAGAAATTTATGACTTAAAATTTAGCTTGATTTTGCTAAAGATGTTTTGATCTTAATAAAACATTAATTTTATTTTTTAACTTTTGTTTAGGGAACACTGTCATACATGCAATCTTTGTGAAAAATCGATGGACGGTTTTAAAGCTTATATTAAGCATATCCATGGAAGTTCCCATAAATCAAAGGAAAATGTTTACATAGTTGAAAAAAATAAGCCTTATAATACACAGAACGTTATTGGTACTTGCAAACCTGCACTACCTCAAAACAAGCCTTATACTACACAGAATGTTGTTGTTGGTTCTACTTATCCTTTACTTCCTAACTATGGAGTTTTTCAGCAATTACCTTTTAGCTTTTTGAACTTAAATTATAATTCTACTTTTAAATATAACAATCAATATCAGAAGAATAAACCTTATGCCTCTAAAGCTTCTTTTTCTTCTAAAAATAACAAGTATGTTTGGGCAAACAGTATGGCTCCAAGTACTAAAGGAGTTTTTCACTCAGAAAGTAAAAACAATTTTAATAAAAATAATTTAGTCGAACCTTGCATTAATACACCATACAACTTAAACCTTGCACGAAATAGTGAAAAAACGAATCCAGGTAATGCGAAGTGCTATAAAACTTCAACCACGAGTTCAAAATGCCATGAAACATCAATGAGTACAAATCTTAATACAATACAAATAAACAATCAAGAATTTAATCAAACAGATGTTAATTATAATAAGAATTTTCCATCTCCTTATAAAAATAATAATCGTTTTATAAATTGCATCAAATCTTACGTGAATCAACAATCCAAAAACAACTATGACCTGTTATTTATGACTGAGGATCAAATTAAAAAAAGGATAAAAAATAGAGCTAAAAGGTTTAAAAAAATGAGCAGAAAAAGGTTAAATAAGTTTTCTTTGTTTTCTGATATTTTTTAATTTAAAAATTGTTATAATTGCAAAAAAGAACATTAGGAAAAAATCTATTTAAACCAGTAACCTGTTGTTACCTAATGTTAACAGTAGCCATTGATCACTTAATATTACCATTACCAATTGGTTTTTTAGAATATACTTTTTTGTGTTTTTTTTTTTAAATTTACTCCATTAATTGTAGAGTATGTTTCATTGGTTTGTTTATATACATATCCATAGAAAATATTTCATTGGTTTGCTTAAATATCTATTCATTAGTTTGTTTGAATATCTATTCATTGGTTTGTTTAAATATCTTTTCATTGTTTTGTTTCAACATCTATCTATTGGTTTGTTTAAATATCTATCCATTGGTTTGTTTAAATATCTTTTCATTGTTTTGTTTAAATATCTATCTATTGGTTTGTTTGAATATCTATCCATTGGCTTGTTTAAATATCTTTTTATTGGTTTAAATATACTTCCATTTGTTTAAGTATACTTTGATAGGTTTTTTGAATGGCTTTAGATTGGTTTGAATATTTTTCTGTAGGTTGTTTGAATATGCTTTCAAATTGTTGTTTAAACTCTTTTTTTTGTGAGTATTTTTAAACTTGCTTTATAGATTCCATGAAAAATTAGTAACACAAGAGAGCAAGTTCAATAATGATTCCGTAATACAAGAGAGAAAATTCAATGATGGTTCAGTGATACAAGATAGCAAGTTTAATGATGATTCAGTAATACAAGAAAGCAAATTCAATGATGGTTCAGTGGTACAAGAGAGCAAGTTTAATGATGATTCAGTAATAAAAGAGAGCAAATTCAACGATGGTTCAGTGACACAAGAGAGCAAGTTTAATGATGATTCAGTAATACAAGAAAACAATGGTGATTCAGTAACTCAAGAGAGCAAAGGTGATTCAGTAACACAAGGTATGATGAAAAGAACACAAGAGAGTAATGATTGTGCTTATTTGCCACCACTAAAAAAAAAGTTTTCTCTAATTGTTTCTGCTGAAAACAATCAACTGCTTACAAACATCAAAGGTTATCAATTAACTTCTGAAAACAATCAACCGCTAACAAACACTAAAAGTCACCAATTAACTTCTGAAAACAATAGTTACAACAAAAATGATCAATTGTTTGCAAGTAGCTATGACGATAAAGTCAATTCAAAAAATAATTGCAATAATGATCAATCAACTGTAAAAATAGGTTGTGGAAAAACTGATCTATCAGGTAAATTTCTTGACAATGAAAACAACAAAAACTATCCCTCAACTGGAAATGATATTAATAACACAGATCTTTCAGCTAAAAGTTTTATCAATCAAAAAAGTACATCAGTTGCTAGTACCAAAAATGATCAAAAATATTTATCAAATGTGATTATCAATAACAACAATAATGTTCAATCAATTTCAAAATACAACAAAAATGACGTATTAACTAGCGCCAACATTAAAACTTCAAAAAACAGCAACAAAAATGATCAATCAGCCACAAAGAACAGTCATAAAAGCAATTCATTAACTACAAATAATAACAACAACAAAAGTTATCAATCAGCCTCCAAAAACAGTTACAAAAATGATTCATTAACTGAAAATAGTAACAACAACAAAAACAATCAGTTAACCACAAAGAACAATTATAAAAATGAGTCATTAACTGAAAATAGCAGCAACAACAAAAGTGATCAATCAACCAAAAAAAACAGTTACAAAAATGATTCATCAACTGCAAATAGTAACAACAACAAAAATGATCAATCAGCCTCAAAGAACAGTTACAAAAATGATTCATTAACTGAAAATAGCAGCAACAAAAATGATCAATCAACCACAAAGAACAGTTATAAAAATGATTCATTAACTACAAATAGTAACAACAACAAAAATAATCAATCAGCCTCAAAGAACAGTTACAAAAATGATTCATTAACCGAAAATAGCAGCAACAACAAAAACGATCAATCAACCAGAAAAAACAGTTACAAAAATGATTTATTAACTACAAATAGTAACAACAACAAAAACAATCAATCAGCCTCAAAGAACAGTTACAAAAATGATTCATTAACTGAAAATAGCAGCAACAACAAAAGTGATCAATCAACCAGAAAAAACAGTTACAAAAATGATTCATTAATTGCAAATAGTAACAACAACAAAAATGATCAATCAGGCTCAAACAACAGTTACAAAAATGATTCACTAACTGAAAATAGCAGCAACAAAAATGATCAATCAACTACAAAGAACAGTTATAAAAGTAAATCATTAACTATAAATAGTAACAACAACAAAAATTATCAATCAGCCTTAAAAAACATTTACAAAAATGATTCATTAACTGAAAATACCAGCAACAAAAATGATCAATCGACCACAAAGAATAGTTATAAAAACAATTCATTAACTACAAATAATAACAACAACAAAAATGATCAATCAACGTCAAAGAACAGTTATAAAAATAATTCATTAACTGAAAATAGCAGCAACAAAAATGATCAATCAACTACAAAGAACAGTTATAAAAATGATTCATTAACTACAGATAGTAACAACAACAAAAATAATCAATCAGTCTCAAAAAACAGTTACAAAAATGATTCATTAATTGTACGAAGTAACCACAATAAAAATGATCAGTCAATCACAAAGAACAGTTGCAAAAATAATTCATTAACTTCAAATAGTAACAAAAAAAACAACAATCAATCAGCCAAAAAGAACAGTTACACAAATGATTCATTGACTGCAAATAGTAACCACAACAATAATGATCAACCAGCCACAAAGAACAGTTACATAAATGATTCATTAACTGAAAATAGTAACAACAACAAAAATGATCAATTGGCAGAAAAAGATAATGAACAAAATTTTAATGAAAATAGCAATGAAAATGACAATGACAATGAACAACTAACAGTATGTAAACTAAATTTTAACAGATTTCAGAAAAACCTGAAACGTAAGGAAGAACATATATCTTCAAGTATTGGAATAAAAACTCAAGCATTAGAAATGGTTGATAAGTACAAGCTGTCAGTTGTAAAAAAAGCACTTAAAAATCCTAGTTTAAAGCTAGACACACCAGGTCCCAAAAAACTCTTAATAGAAAAAGAAAATTCATCGGTCATACCTGGTGATTCATCATTAAGTCATTTATTAACAAAAAATATTATTGGAGATTCTGTTGATTTTGAAGTTAGGGAAGGTAAAAAATATCCAAAAAACAATGAAAGTTTTGAAAAGCAATGCAATGAGATTTCTAATAATGAATTAAATGTAAGTAAATAAAAAAATACTGAATTATTTATACACTTATACAATTTTAGATTTTTTAAAGCTTTATTCAAAATTTATTAAGTTATTTTAGTGTTAATATATATTTTTTAATTATTTGTATAATATTATATTTAATTTATTTTATTTATTTATTTTAATTTATCTTTTTTTTTTTTAAAAAAAAAAAATAGAAAGTTTGTGAGTTTGTCAGTGGTAACATGCAAAAATGTGAAAATCTAATTTCTTCTGAAAACTCTGAACAGTAAGTTACATTTTTGAAGCAAATATTTATAAATTTTATGAAGATTTTTTTTTTTATTGTATAATTACACTATATATCACTATATTATTATGTTTTATTGTTTTAAGTATTTGCTATGAAAATTTAAATTTTAAATACTTGATTTAAATTTGACTTAAAAAATTTGTTAATGTTATAACTACAAAAAAACAAAAAACAAAAAAGGTTTTTTTAAGAATTATTATTACAATAATAAAGAAACAATTTGTATTTCTTTATAATCATAATATAAGTTAACATAATATGATAATAATAAGAATAAATATTTAATCTGTAAAATAAAATTATTCATTACATTTAGATTACATGTCATCATCATCATCATCATCATCATCATCATCATCATCATCATCATCATCATCATCATCATCATCATCATCATCATCATTATATGAATTTCTGTATAGAAACTCTACATTTTTACGAAAGATTTCTATTTCACAACGGTTGACGATAATGTTATAGTTTTTGCATCAATAGTTCAGAAATTTTTTAATATTCTTAGCATTAAAATAAATTAACAATAAGAGTTTTTAAAGATAGCACATAAAATGTGATGTTTGTGTTGTGTTTCTTTATTTGTTGTTATCAAGTTTAAATTTGCTATGAATCAGTTAAATTTATATTTAAGTATGTAGCTATCTTAAAGAACTAGGAAAGTAATTTACTCAATTCACTAACACAAAATCCCGCTGTTTATGAAAAAAGAGAAAAAATAATTGGTACTTTTTCTACTGTGTATTTGTAACTATTTTGGCTAGAAAATGTTTTGTTGCAAAAATTATTCCGTTTTAAGTTGATGCAATAGTTTACACGTTTTTGCAAAATATATTACAAATGTTTTATTTTGTAAAACATTTCATTTTTTCCGAAATATTTTTGTGTCTTCTTTAATGCTATGATGTTATTTTGTCAGTTTGTCTCATGAGGGTTTTGTTATAGCAATTTCTAATTTAATGCATCACAGTGGGCCTAACAGCTGTTTTCACAGACATTCGTTCATAATTTTTAAATGGAAAGTGTTGTGGGTTTGATTAAAAACTTTTTGGAAAGGTTTTTATGTGTAAAGTATGGAAAAACTAAAAAATAGTTTTGCTGCCGGAAACTTAGGTCATAATTCAAAAGACCAAAATATTAAATATTTCATAAAATTTGTCTTTTTATAGGTTATAACAAAAATATGTATAAATGTTTTTAAATATGTATATTTTGTAATACAAAGATAATATAGGTTTGTCAATGATGAAAAGATAATATATGTTTATCAATGACAAAAACAATAAGTATTATCAAAAGAAGTACTAAAATATTTTATTCATACATTTTAAAATATGTGTCATCTTCAGATAAAATTTTATAGAGACATTTTATTTATGACAATATTTATCAGTATGTCCTCATTCATACCAAAATTTGCAGAGTGGTTTTGACTTGTATCTCTTGTCAAAAAAAATTTGATCAGATGATATCCGCATTCAGTTAATGGTGTTTGTTAAATTGATAATTTAGGAGTTTTTTCTTGAGAGTCTATCAATCTTAATACTCTGTTATTACCTTTTAACCCATAATAATAAAGATTTCCCAAACCACTTTCCTCATTATTCAAAATTAGCTCCCAAGAATGACCTATCAGTTTGTTATGGTGTTATACTGATCCATGTTCAAGGTAAAGTTATTTTTATAGCAGGTGGAAACTCATTAAATAGAAATAAATAAAAATATGTGCAATAGCTTTTATATTGATCTTCATAAATTTTTTTTTTTGAGGAAAATACTCATTGAATTACTGAGAGTACCAATTCCAACTTTTAAAACGTTTGCATGATATTAAACAGGCAACTGTGCAATAGTTAACTCTCCGAGTTCAATAGGTAGCTCTCCGAGTGGCTGAATGTTGCGTATGGATGATGTTCCTGTTCTTTTTTTGGGTGTGCATTGTCAAGACCACAACGATATTTTACAATTACTATATTGCAAATTTAGGTATTCAAAGATTTAGAAAATAATGATTTAATAATTAATATATTAAAAGTAACATATATCATAAGTAACTACTAAGAATAAGTAAAATTCATTTAAATAAATTTACAAAACTTTTTTGCAATTATTACTTCGCAAAATAACTTGAAAATTAAATGATTTAAATGATTTTACCATATTTGCATTATTTTTTGAAATAAATTCTATAACTTAGGTCCTCAATATGCTATTGAATATTCTGTATATTTATTTTCTTTAGCTGTTTGAAGAAATTTGATTGGTTTGATCTCAAGAAATACTTTTTACTTACATTTTTCTTAAAGGGATCCCAAAGTGCCGAGACAAGTTGTGTTTATTTTAAAGAGAATGATAAAAAAAAAAAGTTTGGGCAGAATTTTTTTAAGTAAAACAAAATAATAAATGTATACCAACAAAAACAAACTTTGTTGTTTTACTCGAAGATCGCCGTTTCCACAGTAGCTATTCTCTGAAAGTTTTTTTTTGAAATAATAATATTTGTTATTGTTTCATTTGTTTTTTAAAATAGCCTTTATTATAATAAGAGTTTCTTATTTTATAGGAAGCTAAACATAAGAATTATGTTTTTTTATAGAGCAGAAGAACCAAATAAAATTAAGATATTTATATTATACTCTTTAACAAAATAAATATATAAAAAAGTTGTTGATCACCTTTTATATTTTCTGAATTTTTTTTTCTTTTTATGTAAACAATGTGAACTTTTTTTTTAGTTTATCAAAGCCGTTTATTGCTATGACGTTTTTGTTCTCCTATTGAAATGACATTTTACAAATTCTTAAATTTTTAATTAGTAAAGAATTTTGGTAAACGACATCATTTATTAGAGATATTTGCTGAATTTTTAAATTTTTAGTTAGAAAATTTTTATAGATTTTACACTTTACAAATTTACAGATAGTTTTTAATTAATTAAAGCAATAAATAATGTTTTATGGCAATAACTAAAGACAGATGGCAATTGAAATTGTCACAGCACGCGTTAAAAAACATATTGTATTTAATACTTTTCAATTTATGTCATGTTTGGCAGGTATTTTATATTAACCTGTCTCTTAAAATTACAAATCAAACACTACCAAATTTGACTATAAAAAGTTTTTGATTAAACGATTTCAATTTAAAAATTTACTCGATATATGTTTTACAAAATAAATTTCATTAAATATATACTCGCATGATTAAATAAAAATTTTGAGAATACTTGTAAACAATGAAAAGTTAAGCAAATAAATGCTGTTAATTAAACTTTCATAAGGTTAACTCTTTTGCTACCAGCCATTTTAACAAAAATTTTTGCGCTACATTTTTTTGAATAAAATTTGAAAGGCATTGACAACTAATTAAAATTCAAATTGTAAATCTTTTTGAAAGCATAGCAAACTATATAACAGCTAAACAAATGATTTTTTTATTTAAATATAAAAAATTCTTTTATTTATTTTTATATTTTATTTAAATATAAAAAAAAGTTTTTTTATATTTAAAAAAAACATGCATTATTGAACAATAAGAAATGCAAAGTGCTTAAAACCATTGTTTTATAAATAGTAATTAAAACATTAAGTTCAAAACAAAACTAATTTAATGTATAAAAAGAATGTTTTTTAAGACAAAAAAAGGGCGTTTTTAATTACTAAGCTAAATACTTATACAGTTCTACGAGTTAAATTTTACCTTTACCTACTTATTGGTCTAATTATACGTTAAATTTTACAGTGTTAACGCTGCCTTATTTACAGCTAAATATAAAAAAGTTTTTTTTAAGTCAGGGTTACTGAAAATTTTTTAACTTTGTCAAGTGATAACTTTTTATAATAACGCAATATGGGTTATTTTTTCTTGATTATGCAGAGAATTAAACCTTAGGAACAAACAAATTTTATGTGTCTAGAGTAAAAATTTATGTACAAAACAAGATAAATTGTAAAGCGTACTCTACTAGCAGTTTGCAGTAAAAAAAAATTGAAATTATTATTTAACACTACTTTGAAATTTGTATTATTTAACAGAATCTTAATAAGTATGATAATAATTTAATAACAATAAATATAACACAAAAAATAATTTATAGTAATAGATGAGCTTAAAATATCTGAAATTGAAATCTAATTTTCGCAAAGCTTGCATAAAAAATATAAAACATTTAATGTTTTATATTTTTAATGCGAGCTTTGCAAAAGTTAGAAAATAAAATAACTAAAGAAATTCTACAGTAATTTATGATAAAATTATTTTTAGTTACTTATTTTATATAAAATAAGTAACTAAAAATATTCTCTAGTCATCTATAATATCAATTTTAAAAAAATTCTACAATTGGATTAAAAAGAAAAGAATTTTCAGATTTCTTAACGAAATTCTACAATGACGTCATTTACTAAAACTCTTTGAAATTAAACGCGCTTGAATAAATTATAGTTATTTATTTATAATTATTAAGTCTGTAGATTGTGGCATATATTTTAAAGACTTTCAGAGAATAGCTACTGTTGAAACGGCAAGCTTCGAGTAAAACAACAAAGTTTGTTTTTGTTGGATACATTTATTTTTTTTGTTTTACTTAAAAAAATTCTGCCCAAACATTTTTTTTTATCATTCTCTTTAAAATAAACACAACTTGTCTTGGCACTTTGAGATCCCTTTAAACTTACAAATAAATATAGCCAGTGTTAGGTTATTAATATAATTATACATGAAAATTAGGTGCTGATAAAAATTTATTTTGTATACATTCATTATTTTCATATTTCCCATTAAGTGTTTAGTATGCTCCCTTCTTTTTTTCCTGTAAATAATTCTACAAGCATATTTTTGCAACCTAAGTATTTTTTAAGTTTCGTTGGTTGTGTACTACCCCATGTAATATTAGCATAGTTAATTAAAGAATGAATTAAAGAAAAGTATATTAACTTTAGTTAAACTGTATTTATATATGGACAAACTGGGTACATCAGACCAATGGTTTTACTAACTTATGTAGTTGTAATAACTAATTGTAAATATTTAATATGGGGAAGCCAAGATAAATTATTGTCAATAAGTATTCCTAAAAACTGTACATAGTTTTGCTTTTTTATTTGTATGCTATTTAAAAATAGGTCTTGTAATTTAAAGGAAGATTTTTTTCTTGCATTTTTTTATGATATAAGTTATAAATAACTTTGTTTTTTCAACGTTTAATGAGAGTTTATTCTCCATAAACTAGTCATTTATTTTATTTAATTCAAAATTCATGCATAAAGTTGTTTGATACTATTGTTAAAAAGAAATAAAGTTGTTTGATACTATTGTTGGTTTGTGTCATCTGCTAACATGCATTATTTAAGTCATTTACATAAACTCAGAAAAAGAGAGGACCAAATATCAATCCTTGGGGTACTCCACACATGATTTTAAGTATTCCATATTCTTGATTTAGAACATATTGTTTCAGTGAGGTAACTTTTAATCCAATAGTTACTCCATAATGATTCAACCTTTCTAACAAAATACAATGATCAAAAGTGTCAAAAGATTTTGAGAGATTGATAAATATACTTAAAGTAAATTTGTTTTTGTTAAAGTTATTATTTATTTGATCAACTAATTCAATACAAGCATGTTCAGTTGAATGATTTTTCTGAAATCCAAATTGTTTTGAATAAAAGAAATTGTTTTTAGTAAAATAATTAAAGATTCTATTGTAAATTACAGTTAAATATTTTTGAACGTACAGAAAGCACTGATATAGGCCTGTAGTTGGAAATGTTAGAATGATCATCATTTTTATAAATTGGAACATCAGGAAATACCCCTTGATCTAAAGACAGTTTTACCATATAAAACAACAGTTTACTAATACTTTTGTATGTGCAATAATTATATTATTGGGTGTATCATCAAATCCTGGTGATTTATTCTTTTTTAAAGACGAAAAAGCCCTTATGAATTATTTTAATTCCAAGTCAAAATCATGCAAAGTTGTTTTCATCTGATGGTTTTAGATTTTTAGTTTTTAAAAGAATTATAGTAAGTATTATAGAATTTATTATAAGAATTATAGTAAGTCAATTGTCATAGTAAATCTATTGATCTTATTGTTGATGGTTATCTTCCTATAATTCGGAAAGATTCCAATAATTACATGCTTGGTCTGGGCATTTACATCCATAAGAATTCACCCATTTGTCGGGAAACTAAGTTTGAATCCACAGACTATTCTTTTAAGGGTTTTGTTCTACGCCAAAGGCTGCTATTCAAGTGCTTATTAAAGTCTTGTTTTCCAGGCTGCTGGAAAGTGGCATCTGTTATCCCTATTTTCATAAATTCTTGAGAATGATCTGAGACCTCTTCCTATCATAAGCAAAGTTTTTGAATCTTTAATTAACAAACACTTGATCTCTCATCTTAAACCTAATAACATACTTTCTTATCATCAATATGGATTTTGATCTTTTTGCCCTACAGCCAATTTGCTAACAGTAATAACCGATAAGTTTCATCGTGGATCAGATAGAGGTGGAGAGGTTGTCAAAAGCTTTAGAAATGTCGCCCTTGACATTTCTAAAGCTTTTGATAAAGTTCGGCATGCTGGTCTTCTCCATAGGTTTTCTTTTTATGGTGTATCTGGTAGCATCTTTAAAATTATTGAATCCTTCTTTTCAAATTGTAGTTTAAAAGTTGTCTTTGACAGACAGCACTCTTCTTCATATTCTGTAACTTCACGGGTTCCTCAAGGTTCAATCCTTGGCCCTTTACTCTTTTTAATTTACATTAACAATTTTCCAAATAATCTCACATTTAAGGTGGTATTGTTGGCTGATGATACTCCCTTTTATTCTTCTCATGATAAAAAGCCAACGCTCTCTGATTGCTTAGAGGCATTTGAGCTTGAAAAGGATCTCACTTCTGCTATAGTATGGGGCTCACAGAGGCTGGTGAACTTTAATTCAGATAAAACCTAATGTTTTTCAGCCAATATTTATTGCAATAATATAGATCTTCTTATATTTATAAACAGTAACGTACTAAATAAGTCATCTACCATTTATCTTCTAGGATTAATTCTTACTTTCAATCTTTCTTGGAAACCGTATATCAAATCTGTTGCAAAATTAGCATCTGTAAAGGTTGTATCTCTGTATCATGATGTAAAGGTTGTATCTCTGTATGATTAATACTTTTTTACTCTGATACTTTTTTTTTCTCTATAAATCTCAAAGCCGTCCTTGTATGGAATACTGTTGCGGATCTTCTAATGATGCCCTTTTTTTTTAGACAAGGTGCAAAAACGCATTGTAAACATAGTTGGGCCTGCTTATGCAGCCAACCTCCAACCATTATCACATCGTCGTTACTTCTCTTTCTCTTTTCTACAAATACTCTAATGGTCGCTGGTCTAAAAATCTGATGTGGCATTTTAAATGAATTAGATTTTGATATAAAATACAATTAGTTTCAATATATATATATATATATATATATATATATATATATATATATATATATATATATATATATATATATATATATATATTTATTAGGGTGTTCCAAAAAAATGACTTTTTTGAATTTCAACTAACATTGCTTTTCATAAGGTGCCCCAACCTTGATATTACTAATAAATTTTTTTTTTTTTTCATGATTAGATCACTCCATGACTTCCCTCAATGAGCCCAAAGGTCATTTTTTGCCCGTTTTTTGCCCATATTTCGGACTAGCTGAGGGGAGTGTTACCATTATCCAAATTAATTTTTCTTTTTTTTTTTTTTGTTGTTTTATATTTTTGAAGGAAATAAAAATATGTTAAGCTTAATTTTTTTTTTTTTTACTCAAACAATGAAGACCAAAAAATTAAAAAAAAGGCATTTTTAAGCTTTTTTGCACTATATTAGTGTTCTGCTTATTAACAAGATACTTTATGTATTAAAATATTTATATTTACATAATAAAATCATATTTATGATTAGTTTCTGAAGAAATTAGTTGTCAAACATAGTTCATGTTTATAAATTTATTTTGTAAACAAAGAATTCTTTACATAATCACATTTTTTTTTAATTGTTCTTTCACTCTTATATTTGTTTGATACGAGGAAGGTACTTTGTCTTTTATCCTCATTATGCGATTTATTGATCAACTCCTATTAAAGAATATTTAAAAGTAATGAGCTTGTAAAATAAATTAAGATTTTAACATAAACATTAAAGACCAAACATATAAAATAGTTACCTGAACTAGTTTTATATCCCTCTCACTACAGTCATTTACTACTTCAAGATTATTCACAAATTGTTTGAATTCTAAGTAATAGTCATTTAGATCCCATGTCTCAGATGGAGTCTTAAGCCACTGTACTTCAGCATTTGCATGGTTTAAGATATGAAAAATTAACCAACTCTGGTCAGTTATAAGCAGGGTCAAACTTGGGGGAGTATCATCATTAAACATAAGGGAGTTCAGTATATTTAAATTAACTTGATGTCTTTCTATGGCATAAGTTGTAGGTCTTGGGGTTGAGTACAACTTCTTGGCAATGTCACTCCGTTCTTGTACATTTTTGTCAACAAGAGACATAACTAAAATATTTGGGTCTATGTACCAGGTGTGTCTCTTTAGAGACTCTATAACAGGTTTTGCCTGGACAGGATTGATTTTTGAGTATCTCATCATCTGCCAAAGAGCTTTCATATCCTAAAGATTTTTAGACTATGAAATATTACACAAAATTTTCAAAGAAAAAAAAGTAATAAAAAGCAAAATGATTAAAAACTTTTAAAACATAGAAATGTCACCTGATATGGAGCGACAGCCGGAATTTCAGCCTTTATAAACCACTCAGTGTAAAATACAGCTGTGAAGAATGCCATATCATTTATTTCTTTCTTCTCAAAATCTGTCAAGCTAGAAATGTTGTTTAGAAGGAGATACATTTTCAGAAAGTATATTCCCTTTGCCATAAATCTGGCATGGTGTACAGGCCCAGGTTTTCTTAGCCTGTACTGTTCATCACCAGATAAAACCATTGTTGTCAATTCCACTAACTCTAGATAATCAGACCTACATCCATCCTAAATAAGATTATTTATTTAGACACAAAACAGTACCTTACTAAACTTATTTTATTATAGAGTATTCACTTTATTCAAAATTTTAAATACCTTTTTCATTGTTTTCATTCTGATAATATTTTGAGAAAAAGATAAGGCTTCTTTGAACTGTACCTGCAGCCAGCTATCAGAAATATCTTCAATTTTTACTTTGTTTAACACAATGGAATTTTGATCAATTGAGTTCCATACATCTTTAAGCTTCTTTAACAATGGATTATCTGGACCATTTATTTTACTGCTTGGATAAATGTTCCAGCAGTGAATAATATGCCTTTCATAGATGTGATGCCTACATGCTAGGAGAAGTAGTGGTCTATCAAGCTCTGCAGCTAATCTAATGCACACACCCTTTTTATTACCAGTATTTACAGAAGTTGTATCAAAAACGCATCCTTGTAATTTATCAAAAATATCAAATTGATGAAGAAGTTTTATGATTGTATTCTTCTGTGTTTCTCAAGTACTAGAGCTCAAATGAGGAACCCCAAGAAGCTCACTCTGTCCATCTATCCTGATGGAAACAGCAAGTCTGTCAAGTTGATGTTCTATTCCGCTTGTGAACTCCTTAACTATTTTTCCATCAAAATGGAGAATAATTGGTAATGATGAAGATTTAAAAAGATCAGTAACGTGCTTTTTAATCTTTTTTCCCTCTTTAGTTACAACTTCTTCTGCAACTCTAAATGCGATTGAAGAAGATATTGCAAAATTAGTAACATCACCTCCTGAATTAGCAATAACACTTGCCACTATTGCAGTGTGTTGTCTAACTGAAAGTCCTTCACCTATTGCTGTGAGAGCTGTTTTTTTTTTAAATATTTTTTGGTAACAAAACAACAGAGGTAGATTGTTCTTTTTTTATATCTGCTACATATTCACAGTCAGAATTATTATCACTACTTGAAGAGTTTTCTAATCTGTATAGATTGTTACCATTGTTTACTTTAATCTCCATGTTTAACATGGAGCACAATTTTTTGTGGAATCTCTTAATAGTGTACGTAAACCTTTTATCATTTGTTCCTATTCTTCCTATCCTATTTCCAATTTGGTCTAAGATAAACACAATATCTTCATTTTTGGCTTCGGATGTCCTTCTCCTGTCTTTTATAATATCTTCAATTAGTTCTTCTTTTTTTTTACTAATCCAAAAGCATTTTAACATTTCTTCAAAAAATGCCTCATTCCTTTTCGTATCTGTTGGGCTGTTCCTTTTGCTATTCTTCTTTAACTTGTAATAGTTGTTCACCATTTTATCAATCTTCTTTCTTTAAAATGCAAAATTTATTCAATGTTTAAAATAAAGATAAAAATAAATTTGTTGATAAATTTTGAATTCATAATTTACCTGATACTTTCCAAGGTTATGATAGGGAACCCTGCAAGATTCCATGGCCTTACCAATTTAGACATTACACAACAGTCAGCTTGTGGAGGGCATCTGAGCTCAAATGAATTAATTTCGAAATGACACCTAATTAAAACCGTTTTCTTTACTTTGGGATTCAAGTTTCTTAGATATAGGTAAGTATTGCAAAACCTCTATGCCAGTAGGAAGTTTATAACATGAAAGATTTTCTCTAACTTTCTTTACTAGAAATACTTCAGCCTTATTTCGAGTAAGCTTCAACTTCTTTTTTGGTGGCATTTTACTATAAAATAACTTTTTTTTAAGTTAATTAGTTACTAAAAAGATAAATGGTAACCAAAAATATAAAATAAGTTAAAAATCAAATTGCATACACAAGGTAAAATATAATTGTTCACAAAATGAAACAATTATACGCGTATTTAAAATATAACAGAAAACACATTAAAATGGTACATAGGACAAAGGTAGTAAAAGGTAGTGAAATATAGTAAAATAAATCAATGTTTTTGAATTTTTTGATCTTCATTGTTCAAATAAAAAAACAAATTAAGCTTAACATTATATTTTTATTTTCTTCAAAAAGATAAAATAACAAAAAAAAAGAAAGAAAAATTAATTTGGATAATGGTAACACTCCCCTCAATTAGTCCGAAATATGGGCAAAAAATGGGCAAAAAATGACCTTTGGACCCATTGAGGGAAGTCATGGAGTAATCTAATCATGAAAAAAAAAAAAATTATTAGTAATATCAAGGTTGGGGCACCTTATGAAAAGCAATGTTAGTTGAAATTCAAAAAAGTCATTTTTTTGGAACACCCTAATATATACATACACACACCCTAATATATACATACACACACACATATATATGTATATATATGTGTGTATATATATATATATTTATAGTTATATATATATATCTATATCTATATATATCTATATCTATATCTATATCTATATCTATATCTATATCTATATATATATATATATATATATATATATATATATATATATATATATATATATATATATATATATATATATATATATATATATATATATATATATATATATATATATATATATATATATATATATATATATAAGGATGCGGAGTCCCAAAAAAAGGTTTTTAATGCCACAAAAAATTTAATTCTTCCTAGTCTTTGTTATCCAGGAGCTCTAATAATATAAAAAAAGTTTATCGACTTTTAAAATATATTTTAAACATGCAATTTTGCACAAATGCGAATACTCTTCCCTTCTAGTTTTTTATGTAATCTTTTTTACATTAAAAACTTTTGTAATATGTGATTAGCTTCTTTACCTTGAAAGTTGACTTTCACAAAGTTCTTAAATTTTTTAAACTCTTTTAAGCAATTGTTTATTAAAAATCCACTTCTGTCTAAAGGCTCTTTAAAATACATATATAATTCTTGAATTTGTTTTGTTTTGTTTTCAATTTCCCAATAATTTGGATCAAACCACCTCATATTTATATATACTTGATTACGTGAATTAGTAAATCGTGACGTAAGTAGGACAGTTTTTCAAGGACATTATTTTTTTTAGCAATAGCTGCTGTTATAGACTCTTTATTCACGTCTGTCATTTGTAACTTGACTTCAATCTGCCAATGGTCTTTTTTAAGTTAATGGCAATTTTTTGCATTGAAACATTGCAATGCAACAATATCTGGTTGTTCAATTATTCAAATGAAGCTACATGACTTAACGACCTTTCTTCATCCTGCGTTATATTAATAGCATCCTTTAGGTTTAACTTTGTCTCTTCTATCATAGACTCAAACTCGTATGGCATTAAACCTTCATTTTTAAACATTTTTGATATAGGAGTTATTAATTCCAATATGTCTAGGTTACAACATACCAAACATAAAAATTGATATGAGTTAAATTTTTTTAATAATACTTTTACTTTAGCTCTTCTATTGATCTGTATAACTATTTTTACTTTAGCTCTTCTATTGATCTGTAAACTGTGTGTTTAATTGATCTGCCCAAACGTTATCGAAAACAGTTACCAAGGGTTTCCATAAGGCTGAAAGTCATTTGTGTTCTCTTCGGCAATGACTCACAAACCTGAAACAAACTTGAAAACCACGTAATAGGTTTCATCAGCTTTTTTAAATGCTGAATCATGAAGTGCATCTTTTATCGCTAATTCAATTCTATGTTTTGAGCAATGAATTTTAAGCAGCCATTGGTGGTTGGCTGACATACGGGTTAGTAACCCTGTCTTTATTAGGGCTGTACCGAATTTCGGCTCCGGCTCCTGCTCCGGCCGAAATCCGGCCATTTTTACAAATCCGGCCCAAATCCAGCTCCGGCAAAATGTTAGGAAATCCGGCATAATTTTGGCCGGATTTCTGGATGTTTATTACATCTTTCTTACCCGTGATAACATGTATACATAATACTTAATTTTTGAACTTCATGTTTGTTTTGGTATCTGTATTTACATTTTTTTACAATTTAATAAGCTAAGCCTAATTTCAAACAAGAACGCAACAAAAAATTCTGAAGAGAAGACACACGATATTCTGCAATAATGCAGGTGTAAAGACTATGAAGTCAATCCTAATCAACTCATTAGATGAGCGTTTCAAAGGCATTGAGGAGAAACCTTTTTAGATTGAAAAAAATAAAGAAAATCCAGCAAAACAATCCCGGCTGGATAATTCTTATACATTATCATCATTACAATGGCAATATATATAGATGAAATTATTCAGTCTACGCCCGCTTGTGGCACAGCACATGAACAACAATTACCAACAGGCATTGACACTCAGCTAAGCCAATATCTGGAAGAATCAGAAATATATAGACACGCTGATTCACTACAGTGGAGGAGTGACAACATCCCGGGAAAAAAAGTTCTGTAGAATTTCTCTAAATTTTTGAAACATATGGCCTATAGAAACTCTATAAAATTTATATAAAATGTCTATTAATTTCTATAGAAATTGCTATAAAACTTTTAAACAACAAAAATGATGTTTAATAGAAAACAACCCGGCGGGCATTTGTTTTTAAAAGTTACGTTCTGAATGTGTTTTAAATGTCTTTTAAACGTCTTTTAAACATTAATGTTTAAAAGACGTTTAAAAGACATTTAAAATACATTTAGATCGTAACTTTTAAAAACAAATGCCCGTCGGGAACTGTCACTTGGTGATCTAAATAGTCAACATTGTTGACCATTTTCAACACCAAGTAGGGATATACAGGATTTTGGTTCCTGTAGTTTTGCTTCAAAATCCGGCTTCGGCTCCGATTTCGGCCGGATCTGTTAGTAAAAATCCGGCAAATCCGGCTCCGGCCGGATTTGGAAAAATTAAATCCGGTACAGCCCTAGTCTTTATTCCTATGTTAACAGCAGCACCATCACTTGTGCACGCCACAACTTTATGTTTGTAATCGTCATTAGATAAAGACTAACATTTTTGATATAAAAAAATAATATCAATCACTTTTTTTATTGCTTCTGTGCAAATCCCTCCAAAGTTAGTTATTTCTAAAAGAGATGCAAGTAATCACAGTAGTGCGTCTAAAAAAGGAACATGTAATTAATAATTTTTGTAAAGATGCAATTATTTCTAAAAAGCTTTTTTTTCAATTTTTACCATTAACTTCTGTCCTAATTAAAACCATTTCTTTCTCATTTTTGGTTTTTCTAGCTTGAGGTCCATCACCTAATATTGAAAAAAAGTTTGCTTTTTTTTATAATAATAACAACATTCTCCATTACAACATCAGCAATTATCTCCAATGGAGCTCTTATCAATTCAGCAATTATCTCCAACGGAGTTTTTCTACCATCATGACCTTAAAGAAATAAAAATATTTCATCATGTTAAACTTTACAGATTTTTTATTTTAAGATATAAAGATTTATATTACATTTTAAACTTGTTTCTAGCATTAAATTATTTTATTAATATTACCTTTAATAATCTTCACACCACATCTTTTAAGGACAGTAAATGTAAAGGCAGTAAAGGGGAGGTTTGGTTTTAATGCAAGCTTGTATGCAATCTCTGTTAATTTAATATAAGAGTCCTTTTTTTATTGTGCATGATATTAACCAAATTTTCCTGTCCCTTACTAGAGATTAAAACATTTAAAACTGACATTACTTTTTCTTCTTGAATGGGGTTATTTTCAAGCTGCAGTGCAAGTTTATGGCAGTTTCCTTCTTCAAAATGTCTTATAGCCTAAAAAAATTAATAATATATATTTATATAAATCAATAAATTTAATAAAGATACATATATTGCTTAGTTTCACATTTCCTGTTCCATATATATACCACAATGCTGATATTCTTACTTGACCTGTAATCTTGCGAAGTAGTTCCTTTTTATATTGAGAACAAATTTTACACCATATTTTTACAGCATATGTTGTTTCATTTTCTTCTATTGTTTCTTTGCCACATTAATCATTATTTCTCCCACTTCAAAAATGTTTCTAAAGTAACTCTCGAACCTGAGGTTGTCATTGCCATTTCAATTCAAAAACTGGAATAGCGTAAAAGCAAACACTATTTATACTAAGTAAATTTGAACTATGTGATCTTTGATTTTTTATAATGAGTTGCATAATTGGCGAAATTTCAAATAGACATTTATTAGAAGTAAGATGTGCATAGTTAATGCGGAACAGCGTACTATATTTTAAATTTTGTGTAATTAAATGAAAAGTTTTGCCAAGTTTTTAATTGGTAATAAAAAAAAAAAGACCAAGAAAAAGAATTATGACAGAATATTGTCATTTAATTTTTTCATTAAGACATTTTTATATGCAAATAATTTTTTATTTATGAAACCTGTTCGTTAGTACAAAAACATTTGCATTTCAATTGGCGTTCTATTTTATTATTGTTATTGTTTTTATTTTTGCAATAAAAGTTTATTAAGCAACTATTGCTTTAATTTGATAATGACTGTTTGTGTTTTTTAACTAAGATACTGTTGCACAGCGGGCCAGAATGGCCAATTTTGAGACAATTAATAATTAATTTAATATTAATGCTACATTCACTTTGTTTGTCATGAGTACCAATATAAGGTTTGAGCTTCTTATGAAGGCGTTATTTTTTATTTAGTTGCTATGGATACCTATTTTTTTTGCATAGCAACAATCTACTTTTTGTAGTTATAGATTTGTTATGTATACACTAAATTTGGCATAAGCACAAGTGTTAGGTCTGCACGAGTGTAAGATACGCAAGGGTTTCTTAAACTTTGCAAGTTTAATAAACAATTTTGAATTGGCTGCAATGTCATGAGAGTAAACTTATAGGCCTTGTATGCGCCAAGCTTCAATTTTCTTTGATGACAAATACAAATTACTCCTTAAAACATATTGTTAGATAATCATTTGCTTTAAGTCAACTTTCAATTTAATTTAGATAAAAAAAAAAAATTGGTTGTTTCCTTTTATGCAGTTGTATGAAGAAAAAAATTTTAAAACTGGAAAACTTTATCATTGATAAATACTGAAGATCAATAAAAAAAAATTAAAAACTTGTGTATAAAGTATTTGTATCAAATTTTTTTTGCCAACCTGATGCTGACCTCTAAAAAATTGAGTTTGGCAAATTATTGCTGACTTCATTTTTCCTAATTCCGAGGTTGTATATATATATACTTAACATATGTACCTAATATATTATGCACTTTTATATATGTATTAAATAGTGATAATGATATCTATAAATAGTTTCAATACAACTCTTAGATGTTGAATAATATAAATTAATGCATTATTTAAATAGAAAGCTAATAAAAAATTAAAACTTAATTAAAGAATTTGTTCAAAAAAAGAAATATATTTATAACACCATGCATAGCACTTTTCTTATTTTCTGATATCTAATATTACTTTGCGGAAAATATGGCTGAACTAAATCAATATAAATGGCAAACGGTAAATTATGAAAAAAAACCTCTTTTTTGAAACTCTACCTTGCGATGTAGCTTTTCTATACATAATGTGTCAGATTTCTATACATGTATGTAGTATTTCTATACCGCGCCGAGTTTTTATACAAATTTGTTGTGTTTCTATACAGTTTTTATAGAAACTCTACACATTCTTCTTGTCATCATCATCATCATCATCCTCATTATTATCATCATCATCCTCATTATTATCATCATCATCCTCATTATTATCATCATCATCATCATCATCATCATCATCATCATCATCATCATCATCATCATCATCATCATCTTTATCATCATTATGTTGAAACTTTTTTGGTAATAAAAAACTTTTGTTAACAACTAACAAAAATAACTCTCATTATTTAACCCAACAACTTTTTATAAAATTTATTTTAATTTTTTTTTGTGCTTTTAACTTTATATAAATTGTTACTAATTATACTTTTTGAGTTATAACATTCTTGATTTCATGATAAAACTAAAAAAATCATAATTTTTATTTTGTGAATGAAAATGAAAATAAGTGATGGGCTCCTTTATCTTTGATATAAAATATGATAGAATACTTTACATTGAAAAAGTATTTTCAGTTGCATAATGTTATAATAGTTTCCAATAACTAAAAGGTTGCAATACCAATAACCAGAGTTTGAGTCAAATGCGTATTGGTATTTGTATTTGGTAATATTATATTGTCGTGCTTGTATTTTTAAAAAGTTTTTAACATATTTGTATTTGTATTTAATTGAGATGTATTTGTTGTTTCATATACTAGATCGCTTTTTATTTTTTGAAAATCAAGATATTCTTTGTTTTTGTTTTATTTTTATCACTAAAATGATTTTAAAATTTGTTTTTAAGCTTTGTTTAAATACTTGTTTCTTCTATTTAGTATACCATTTCTTAAAAAGATCTTTGCAAACTTAATAGTATTAGTGCCCTTTCAAGCATGTTTGAGACAAAACTCTTGGGAGCCATCGCAAACTAGGTAATAGCAAGAAAGAGTCGCAGCACTTTGTTTTATAAGATAATGTGAATGAAAGTGTATGCAAATATCAAACGTACGTAAACTTCAAATTATGTAATCTTAAAACATACTTAAACATGTATCAAGTTTTAGAGTTTATCTTTTTTGACTTTTTTAACTTGAAAATTGCACTGCGTCAACCTCTCCTTAATTTTGATCTATAGCATTTATTTCCGAAAAAAAAAAATTATTAAATAGCTTTAAAATTTTGTGCCAAAGTCAATGTGCCAGCTTGGCCGAGTGGGTAGCACGCAGAGCTTCTGAATAAAAAAGCCTTTCTGAATGGTTTGAATCCTACCACTGGCAACTTTTTTTTTTAATTTTTTTAGATTTTTTAAAATATAATATACTTGTAAAGTTTTATAGAGATTTTATACAAACATATGTAACAATAGTATACACTCTAACAAACAAAAAGATATTTAAAAAAGCTAAAATTTCTAAAAACATCAAAAAACAGGGGGAAATTAAGTGTATGCGTCATTGAAATTTTAGTTTTACATTTCAATTTTTTTTTTACAAATAAGTTGAGTTTGTGCAAGTAAAATGAGTATACAACATGTTTATATATAAAATAAAATCTATAGAACTATAAAGTTGTTTTAAGTTGCATTTTAAATACAAAAATTAAACCTTAACTTTTTTTTAAACAGTAAGGGGATTTAAAAAGTATGTTTTTAATAAGGACATAATTGAAAATTCTAATTTTATATTTAAATTAAACCATTTTATTGAATTTATTATTCTAAACTGAGTGTGCAACAACAACAGAATTTAGATAACCATCAAAGTAGTATTATACTCCATTATTTTTTGGCTTAACCTTTAGATTAGGAATTGTCCATAAATTATGCAACTCTAAATTTCACAAATGAACATAACAAAAAAGACTAAAATTTTCCCTCGCAGAGTCGTAAGTTAAATATAAAATCAAAATAACTCATTAAGTTTAATGAAAATTACCACCCAAAAGAACTTAAGATCTCCTTTTTTTTTAAATAAATTTAGGGTTGCATATATTATAGACGATCCTTTAGCGTTTTATAGTTTATAGTTTTTAATGGTCTAAGATCTTCTCAGTTCTGCCATTTGCACAGCGCTGCATACAAGCGTCTTTAAGTGTAAACGTCTTAAGCATATGCTGAGTTTGCAGGTAGTATATGAAACAATAGTGTATAATAAATCTATAAAATTGAGAAAACTTTTAAATTTTATTTTAACATTTATAAAATTTTTTTGCTATATTATTATTTTTTGCTATAAATAATTATATAATTATTATAGATATATACTATTATATAATTGTTGCTTCAGTTATTGCTATAAATACAGCAAAATTGAAAAATGTTCAAAATTTATTATGGGAATGTCTTTAATCCACCAAAACCACTGATCTATCAATGATATACGTTTAGAAGAAAATTAAACCTAATTATAAATCTTTTATAAGCTTTAGGTATTCGGAAAAGGTGCGCATGTTAATTTTTTTGTTCTTAAAGCAGTTTTTTAAAATGAATTGTTTTATGTAAAAATATTGAAGTAAACAAATAATAGGTATAGAAATGATTGGTGTAGAAGTATAGAGATAAGTATAGAAATGGTATGTTTAGTAAAGACCTATATTTTATTTTCGGAAAGCTAGGATATATATAAGGAAAAAGTATAGAAAAGGTCAGTGTGGATTAGACTAATAAAGACAGTATTTTTACGGGTCAGATCAGCTAGTAATAATAATAATAATAATAATAATAATAATAATAATAATAATAATAATAATAATAATAATAATAATAATGGCAATAATTGTAATAATAATAATAGTATTAATAATAATAATAATAATAATATATATATATATATATATATATATATATATATATATATATATATATATATATATATATATATATATATATATATATATATATATACAGTGGTTTTCATAAATTTAGACGCACTCATATTTGAGAATAGAAAATTTTAGGTATTTTAACGATAAAACAATGACGAAAAAAGATTTCGGTTTAGTTTTTTTTCTATTTATCAGATAAATACATACAGAATACAAAATTTAAAAAAAGTTTACAAAAAAAAATGAAATACTAAGTAATAATTAGGTACAACTACATGGTATTAAAAAAATTAGACAAAAAAAATTATTCATAAATTTAGACGCACGATACATTAGAAGGCGTAATTTATGAACCAATCAATATTTTGTGTATCCGCCTTTTGCTTTAATACAACTAAGAACTCTTTTAGGCATAGACTCAACAAGATTTTTGCACATCCTTCTGGGACCCCATACCAGGTCTCCTTAAGGAATTCCTTCAGCTGACCAAGTGTGGAAATTTGAACCTTTGCTAATTCACGATCAATCCAAGCCCAAATGTTTTCAATCAGGTTCAAATCAGGTGAATATGGAGGCCACGGTATTGTCATAATATTATTATCGTTGAACCACTCCTTTGTATAGTATGCAGTATGTGCAGTAGCGCTATCTTGTTGAAGTTTCCATGGTTTATTATTGAGCATAAGCAGGTCAATTGATGGAATTAGGTTGTTTTCCAGTACTTCTACGTATATTCTAGAGTTGATTCTTCCGGTGTATGTTTGGCACATACCAACACCATTGTAATTAAAGCATGACCAGATTCCTATCGAGCCTCCTCCACTTTGTACAGTTGGTCTAATGTACCTGGCGTAATACTTTTCGTGAGCCATTCTTTTGACTGTTATGTTAGATTTGCGATTGATAAGCTCAAAGTTACTCTCATCACTCCACATAATGTTTTCCCATTGATCTATTGTCCAATACCTTCTTTGACGACACCATTTTAGTCTCCTTTGTTTATCATATGGACGCAGAAGCGGTTTCTTCAAAGCAGTGTAGACTCCAATCTTGTATTTGATAAGTATTTGGCGGACTGTGCTTTGAGAAATAGATGTATTTCGCGTTGTATTGAATTCTGTGGTCAATTCTTTGTAACTAATTCTTGGATTAGCTCTGACAGCTCTAAAAAGAACACTATCATCCTTTCTCGTGGTTGACAAGGGTCTACCTGGCCTCGTTTTCTTGCTGGCACCACCAGTGTGAAGAAACTTTTGTTTCGTTGTCCGAACGCATTTCTCAGAAACTCCAATTAACTTGGCGATTTCTCTATTACTTTTGGTTCCTTCTTTGATGTGCGCAATAATTTGCCATCTTTCACCTTGAGTAATACGTCTTTTGCCCATTTTTTACGTTTTTTTAGTGCAAAACTAACTTAACTTTTGTTTATTTATTAAATAATGATTAAATAATTCCAGGTAAGTCATATTTAT